CAATATGTGAAAGTGTGTTTGTGTGTGTGTGTGTGTGTGTGTGTGTGTGTGTGTGTGTGTGTGTGTGTAGGCCCTATCTGTATGCATGCATATGTATGTGTGGGTATGTGTCTGTGTGTTTGTGTTTGTGTGTGTGTGTGTTTAGGTATGATGAGTAAAAGTACTTTACTTTTACCTTACTTTTTCATCCTCTGTTGCCGTTAAGCGTCGAGGGGAGATGCAGTTTTCTATTTTAGGCCAGCCTCGCAGCTCTTTCAGTTGTGATATATTATATAATGTTTTCTCAGGGTTTCCTTGACACCCTCGATCTACCTTTTGCGTGGCCTTATTCTTCCTTTATAGCCTGAGTGCTTGGTGTTGTAGGCTCTCGAGGCTGGTTGGCCAGGTGACATACGTAACAGGTGGCCAAACCATTTTTCTCTGTCTTTCTACGTAATGCAGGTAGTACTCAATGCCGATAGCTGCCTTTACGTCTTCATTTCTCTACCTGTCTCTTCTTGTGATGTTAAGGGTAGTGCGGAGACATTTCATTTTGCATGACGTGGTTTTGCTGTCATGGGTTTTACTTAATGTCCAGGTCTGGCATTGGTAGCATAATGTTGGTATGAATACAAAGGTGATAAGCTGTCTATTTCTGTCCTCGGAGATGTTTGGATGAGATAGGAGGGTGCGAACTGGTAGGTGACAGCGTTTGCTTTTTGTGTTCTCATTTCTATTTCTTTGTCGATGGACCCGTTTTCAAAAAAAGTATTGCAAATATATTTAAACTCTTTCACCGGTTTCAGTTGTTTACTATTGACATAGATGTTCAGGAGACTACTGTTTCGGCTGACTTTCATAACTTCTGTGTTTGATGTGCTAATTTTCACGTTAAATGTTTCGCAGCTGTTGTTCATTTCGGAAGTGTGATTTTGGAGGCTTTGTTGGTTTGGGTGAATAAGACATTGGTCGTCTGCGAATAGAAGTTCCTGCGAATAGAAGTTCCTGCGAATAGAAGTTCATTTAGGCTTTCTGGGATTTGGTTTGCGTCTTGCGTTATTGTGTCTATATAATATATTATAAACGGCAGAGGAGATTGAACGTATCCCTGTCGTACTCCAAATCTTACTTTGAATCAGTCTGTATTGCCTCCCTTCGTTCTTTCTGAGCTTTTGCTGTAGGTGTATAGAATTCTGACATTATCTAACATAATATTTTGTCTCCTGACGCTATACTTTTCAAGTGTCTTCCAGAGTTTTGCATGGTTTACTCAGTCAAAAGGCTTCTCTTGGTCTATAAAGACGATGTTGGATTGACAAGTAAAAGTACAGTATAAAATTTACATTTGGTGCACATTCAAGGTACAATAACATGTTACGGTATACGTAAATGCAAATATACATACTATTTCTTATTCTCTTAAAAAGCATAAATCATTATTTTCTTGATTTTTCCTGTTTTGAGAATTTGAATTTTGACAATAAACCTTTCCAGAGCACAATATTTGGCGACCATATGCAACTGATACAACGGGTTAAGAACTGTATTTTTAAACAAATTATTGGGCTTATTTGCATCTGACCAATTGGTCGATGATACATTTCTATTCTATGAATGTATTTTTATTTTCTTTCTCCCTGCCCCCACTCCCTACTCCCCCTCCCTTCTCTCTCTCTCTCTCCCTCTCTCTCTCTCTCTCTCTTTTTCGCTCTCTCTCTCTCTCTCTCTCTTTTTCGCTCTCTCTCTCTCTCTCTCTCGCTCTCTCTCTCTCTCTCTCTCTCTCTCTCTCTCTCTCTCTCTCTCTCTTTCTTTGTATCTCCGTTTGTCTGTCTGTCATTCATTTGTTCGTTTGTTTTTGCTTGCATGCACCCACAAGGAAGAACAAAAATAATTATACTCTCAAATGAGGTATCTCGTTCCTTTTGTTTTTATTGTTTTGAGACCGCTTATGCGTGTATGAATAACCATGTAGACATTTACATCTGCGAAATCGAATCAATATCGCTAATGTCTGTTAGGGGCCGCCTCTGAGCCCGAGTTATTCCCCTTTCGCCGGGTCACCCATCACCCTGCCATTTCCCCTCTCTCGGTTCACCACGTTCTTACACAAACTATTTCATTCTCAGCTGGTTTTTATTAATACTTTCTTTAATTCTGGGCAGTGTTTTCGGAAACACGATATCTGCAATTTGAAGTTTCTGGGGAGAAAAAACTAGATTTAAATTATTTGTGCACACATGGTCTTTGTTTCGTAGGCTTCCAGTGCTCAGAAGGAATATCTAATATATTGATGAACCTGTTGGCTTCGCGACTAGCGCTAGGGAGTTATAATGTGAGGGGGGACCTTTTCTTATACAGCTGCACACCACCCATCAGTGCGAAGAGGTAAAAGAAGAGAAGTATTATGGAGTGCATAAAAGTTAGTTCGTCATTTTCACCAATTCATCTGCAGTGGAGAATATCTTTGAAGCTGAATAGAAGGACGAATTATCAAGATTAAGATTAAGACGAATTATTAAGATTACATGTGACCTCTTGTATACCGATGAGACCAGTTATGACAGAGAAGAGTTTAATTTAGCATAATTTAAAAGCGTTGTTTCAACTTGTGGATAGAAGCAGCTTGTAGACTTCTCTTTTGTCTTCAGCGCTTCTAATACATAAAGCCTCATATTATGATTTACTGCTGCAATTTGAGATCTCTGATCTACAACTGAGTCATCTAGATGGAGCACATACAGTGAATGCAAGGGATGGGATTTCGAAGCGTAATAAAACGGATGCGTGTAAACATTGCGCGAGTCTTCTTGTTACCAGATTTTCGTGTTGCCTTTCTGTCTGGGATCTTTCAGTATGCCTTTCTTTTTACTTCTATGGTGCAATTGTATTTTGTAACTCGTCCGTCTCGTTTCATTGATAATAAATATTGCAAATTGTTTAACAATATAATGTAATTGTACATGTAGCTCATGTCGACATGGGATTATCGAGAGGAGACATATTGTTGGGATTAGAACTGCGTTAGGAGGGAAAGGGGTGTAGTGCGAAAACTACCCCCCAACCAGTAATAAATCATTTATTGCCAGTCTCAACATATTTACAATGAGGAAGAAAAAGTCGACGCGTCGGTCATATTATGTCTACTATACATGCACATGCAGGCACACACGCACGCACACACACATAGACACAGACAGACAGAAACACACACACTAACAAACACATACACACACACACACACACACACACACACACTCACACACACAAACACACACATATACACATACATACGCACACACGCACATTAATCCCATTAGCAATTTTGCCCCACCACCTTCATCCATATTATAATAATATAGAGGCAGACAAAAAATGAAAAAGAGGAAGAGAGCAAGATAGGTAAAGAGGGTGGTGGCACTGCAGATAACGAAATAGCGAGGGAGTGAAAGGAGATAGTCATAGATAGGGAGAGACAGAGAGAGAGAGAGAGAGAGAGAGAGAGAGAG